AAAAATGCAGTGGCGTCTCTGCTAAGCTTGTTCCATAGCCCCCCAGGTGGTCTACATGTAGCCCTCTCACTTTCTACTCCCCTTCCCCAACGGGATCATTTTTAACGCGGCGATTCTGGTCAGGTTTCTTCCTCTCCCAAGTTGAAAGACCTCATTTACAGTGATAACCTTGATTGTTGAGCTCAATTCGTTCCAGATTCATGTTCATACACCGAAAAGTTTGAGAACTGAACCTGTTTTTACCTTAAGAAATAGTGGAAACCAAATAAGTGGTTCTGAAGCCCCCAAATTACCCTTATAGATTCACTATGGAGGGTCTGAGTCCTCTCACAGAGTGCTGGCTCTGATGCCCTATAGCCATCGGGTTGCTTCTGATTTATGCAAGTTAACTAACTTTTCAACCTCTTTGATGGTTCATGATCTTTCTCTACATGAGCTGCTTTACTCACAAATTTTTTCTCCTCCAAAGTATTGATAATTGTCGACTTTACCATGTTGTATTCAACTGCCAAATCAGACAAGCGCCGACCTGAATCAAATTTCAAAATGATTTCTTTCTTAACTCTGTTGTGCTTCTCCATTTTCTTCTTAGCTTTCCCGCTGGTAGGAGCCCTGGCGGTAGAGTGGTTACTTTTAGGACTGCAGTTCAAAACCACCCGCAGCTCTGAGGGAGAAAGCTAGGGCTTTCTGCTCCCACTAATCAGTTGCTGTCTCAAACCCATAGGGGGCCTCTGTGAGTCAGCATGACTCGCTGTGAGTTTGGTTTTTCGATTTACTGCTGGTATCGCTAACTTTCTTTGGAGCCACGATTATGATATATTATGCAAATAAGCACAGTGATGAATGTTTGAACACACCAGCACAAGCACTGTCTGTTGTCTGAGCAAGAACAGTGCTTAGACTGAAGCTTACCCCTTTGTGTCCGCTTTTCAAGTCGAAGTTACAAACACCAAGTGAGTTGTTTTTTAAACTCGGAGCTGTTCGCTCAACTGAGATGTCTATTTGTTCTTAGCAGAAAATCCAAATGCTTTTTAACATAGGTCCCTGTTTTTCACGTAGAGTTTTCTTGCTTCCCACCACCCAAAACAAGAAAACCAAACACCCTAAAGCGTCACGGTTAACTTGGGTTATTTATTAACTTAGCCTTCAAATCTCAGCCTATTAATGCCATTTCTGAGGGTGATTCCCCCGCCCCTCAACACACACAGTGAACCCTCCCTCTTGGAGCCTGTAACACTTGTAGTTTTATTAACAGCTTTCCAACATGTTTCAAGGGAGATAGTCTTTACGGCCAGGAAGAGATGAGCGATGGTGCACATTCCGTCTAAGAACTGCATGTGTTCTAGTTCAGTTCAGTCGCACACAACATTGGATATGAGTACCGTCACCCCATTTTTCTTAGATGGAGAATTTGAAATCCAGCAAGGTTAAGTACGTGGTAGAATCGGAATTTGAATCTGTGTTCCAACTCTAGAACCTGCTGCCCGACCGTTGTAGTTGGTTGCTGACTCCCTAGTGTTCTGTTCTTCATTTTTAACCAAGATATCTATCGATATCTAGATCTAGATCCAGATATATCTGGTTGCTCTTAGTTGACTAGTTGACAAATGTTTTCATCCCAGTCTGCCTCCTCTCCCCCTCTGCCCTTCCCAGTGCCTTGTGTCCCGGTGAGAGTCTAGTTTGGGTCTGCATAAGCAGCATCGGAGCCACAAAGCTGCCACAGCAGTGGTTCTCAACCTTCGTAATACTGTGACCCTTTAATACAGTGCCTCATGTGGTGGTGACCCAACCATAAAACTGTTTTCATTGCTACTTCATAACTGCCATTTTGCTATTGTTAGGAATTGGGCCACCCTTGTGAAAGAGTCGTTTGACCCCCCAAAGGGGTTGCAAGACCCACAGGTTGAGATCCGCTGTGCTACAGAAACCACTTTGATAACGCCAAACCACTTAGCTATCCATATGCATTAATGTATATTTATAGAGAAAAGCTGTTGCTTAAAGTGACCTTTGCCATTAGAACAGAGACTGATGAAGTAAACTGTTTGGGCCTATGCATTCTGGCTCTAGACCCTGGCTCTAACCTCTCCTCCCTGGGGCTGCTCAACTTTTCTCTGGAGTGTTAGCTGCTTCTGCTCACTCTGCTCAGCCACCTGGTGCAGTGTTTCTGATGACTTTGCCCGCCAGCCATGTGTATTATCTTTAATGGAATAAAAACTCGACTGGGAGCCCCACTTGTGAGAGCCATGAACAAGCTGCACTCCGGAGACTGCTGCCAGGGCCCTGAAGACTCCGGACAACGTGCTGGAGGAGGAGCGATGAGGGTTTCTGACATGTTTTGCCTGGGAAAGACAAAACAGCAGAATTACAGATGCTGTGGAGGAGGTGTGAGGTTTCTTTCACATCACGATAGCAGGCACGACCAGACAGTGCATGGAAACATTTAGAGATGGAGGTTGTTTCTTTCTAAAAGAGCAGTGCCAGTCTGAGTTAGTGAGTTCGCAGGGTGGACCAGTCGGTCGCTTAAGGGAACCTTTCCCCTAATCTGGGAGTAGCTTGGGGGCTGGAGCGGATGGGACAGGATGCCCATTTCGTTAAATTTATTCCCATAGCCTCTCATTTATGTTGCAACCCTGGGGTTGTGAATGACATTTTCTCTCCTCCCCACATTTTGATGTAGAATGTTGCTTTTCTTTTGGAATGCTTAGATATTTCTGAATAAAAAGGAAAATAAATGAATGAAAAGAAGTACTTGTGGTTCAGCATCTACAGGAAAACATGAACCAGCCCCCCCCGCCCCCCCACTGTCTGTCATTGAGTCAATTCCGACTCATAGTGACCCCGCAGAGCAGAGTAGGACAGCCCTGTGAGTTTCCGAGACGAACTCTTTTTTTTTTTCTTCTAAAGATGATTTTGTTGGGGGCTCTTACAGTTCTTCTAACAATCCATACATCAATTGCATCAAGCATATTTGTACATATGTTGCCATCATTTTCTAAACACTTTCTATTTGAACCCTTGGGATCAGCTCCTCTTTTTTTTAAAAATCATTTTATTAGGGACTCATACAACTCTTATCACAATCCATACTACTACTCTTATCACAGTCCATACCCTAGACGAACTCTTTATAGGATCTGGGCTTAACACTGGAAGCCTCTGCTTGGTTCTTGCTCACTAAGTACTTTATGATTGGGATATTGTCACCTAATTAGGTTTTTTGATATGACATTGCTTTTCAAAAGCATTAGGTGAATCTTTTTAATCAGAGGATTCTGACCTCTTTCACATTGAAAATTGGAGTAAGACCAGTGTCACCCTCTGCCATAATACCCATTAGAGAGTGAAATGTAGAGCAGATGAAATAAAAAGCAATTGTTAGAAATATGTGTAAAAGGCTTTCAACAGAGAAATACCATGACATCATGTGTCAACACATAAGGATCTGAAAGAGCAAGGCTAGGTAATAGGGACTTGTATTAATCAATAAATGTTTTTATTTATTAAAAATGAACTATTTATTTTAAGTTTGCGTAATTTTGATTCCCTTTTATTGTACCCATGATTTAATGTATCATCCCAATTGAAAGCACCTGGATGGTGTAGTCTGCTAACCTTGTTAGCAGTTGTTCTGCTAACCTTGAGGTCAGCAGTTCAAATCCACCAGCTGCCCCACTGGAGAAACAGGAGGCTATCTGCTCCTGTATCCATTTACAGCCTCAGACACTGTAGGAAGCATCTCAGCTGTACTCTGCTATAGCTCTGCTCTGGGGCTGCTATGAACTTGAGCTGACTCTATAGCAGTGGTTTGGCTTTTTTCTTCAGTTCTAAATTACTCATTCCTGGAATGCTGCTAATTTTCTATTTTTATTTATTTACTACCTTAATAGGAGATTGACACAGTGGCTGCAGCAATTGTCCCAAGCATAATAGCAATTGGGAGGGTGGGACAGGACTGGGCTACATTGGGTTCTTTTGTACATAGGGTCGCTATGTGTTGGGAGTCAGAGTACCTTTAATTAAAAAAATCATTTTCAAAAATTTTCTTTCTACTTGAGTCCTTGGTATCAGCTCATTTCCCCCCTCCCCTTCCTCTCTCATGAACCCTTGATAATTTGTATATATTTTTTCCATGTCTTATACTGACCGCTGTCTCCCTTTACCCACTTTTCTGTTGTCCCTCCCCCTGGGAGGGGCTTATATGTAGATCATTGTGATCCGTTTCCCCTCCCCCCCACCTTCCCCTTCCCCTTCTGGTATTGTTACTCTCGTTATTGGTCTTGAGGGGGTTACCCACCTTTAATTTTTAAAATGGCCAGGAGGACAGCCACTAGTGTTCCCCATTTGAGCAGTAAGGGACTGAGCTCACTGGAAGCCAGTTTTCCCTTAAAGTAAGGTGACCAGACGTCCCGCTTTTGGTGGGACAGTCCTGATTTTTAGCAAGAATGCACGCAAAGCTAGGGTGTACAGTTTTCGGCTGCCATGTGGCTATATTTCGCCAGGGTATGAGTTTTATCAATGGTGTCTTGCTTTTGTCCCGCTTTACCAGTGTTAAAATCTGGTCACCTTACCTTGAAGCCCACTGTTCCCACCCCGTCCATTTGCCCTTGGGTGACAGGCACCTTCATGCATACCCTGAAATCTTTACTGAGAGGAAGAAAGAGCAAGGGCCATCAGACAGACTCACTAAGACTGCTCACAGGAGTTAGTCTTGTGTTTTGGGTTCTGGGGATTCTTTGCTGGTATACTAGTACCTTTCTCCTGCTACTGTCCCCAGAGTATTTTAGCCGAAGTTGCCGTGGGCTAGAAAGTTAAAATAATTAGAGTTTGCTCAAATAAATCCCAGGGACTTGATTTGGGGTGAGGTGTGAGGGCATCTCTTGCAAACAAACAGGTTGAACCTTCGGGTTACCTGTTTCCCTCTTCATGGGGAGATACACTTGCCAGAGACGTGCCTCTGTGTCTAACCGAGAAGGTGTTGTTGTACTTCTTTTTAACAGAGAAGAAGACACAGAAAATGAGGATGAAAAGAAGATCTGGTACTACAGCACAAAGGTCCAGCTTGCAGAGTTAATGGACTGTCTAGACAGAGATTACTGGGAAGCAGAACTTTGCAAAATTCTAGAAGAGATGCGGGAAGAAATCCACCGGCACATGGACATAACCGAAGACCTGACCAACAAAGCCCGGGGCAGCAACAAATCCTTTCTGGCCGCGGCGAATGGTAAGAGGGCCATCGGCGGGCGGGTTCCTGTTTGTTGTTGTTGGATTTGAGAGGAACTCTTGCTCTGAAACACAGGACTTGACAGTATGTTTAAAATTTCCAGCAAATGGATTTTACTTTATCTCACCTCTTTTTCTCCAGAGCACCTGTGCCCCCACCCAGGCGATTGTGGGCATCTCACGGTGCACTGGCTGGTCTTGGTCATGACCCATATTCCCCAAATGCTTCTTTCTTGAATCCATACATTTTGTTAAAATCTTGTTGGGAGCCCTGGTGGCAGTGCTGGATAAGTGTAGGACTGCTGACTACCAGGCTGGTGGTTTTAACCCACCAGGTCACTCCATGGGAGAAAGATTGGGCTATTAGGGCTCTCCCCTCCACCCCCCACCCCCAGATTAATAGAATAGCTTCAGATACCCTACAGAGGGTCACTCCCAGTCAGAAGTGACTCAGTGGCTTTGGGTATATTATTATTTTTAAAATGATAAGATTTTATTTACAAAGCTTCTTTGTTATACAGAAACTGAAAATGTGGTTACAATCTCAGTAACTGGCAGCCAACAGTGGTTCAGACTCACCAATCACAGATATACAGGCTACAGCGGAGTCTTAGACGGAAACCCAATACGTTGACAATTTTGGTCGTGCGAAGTCCGCAGGCTTGGTGGTGGATTTCCAAGAGGGACTAGAGAGAGGAAGGTGGAATGTCTCAGGAACTATTCTCTATTGGCTCTTTGGTGGGCGATTATTTTTCATGATAAGAAATATTTTAAAAATCTTTACTTACTTTATTTCATTAAGCTAACGATTTTAGAGTAGTTGCAGATTTACAGAAGGGTCCACAGACCTTGTCCCCATTTCCCCTCTAATGTACGTCCTATGCTAACAGGCTGCACTGGGTCACCCATTGTTGCTATACTTTGATTATCAAAAGTCCATACTTTATTCAGGTTTGTTTCATTTTTACCCAGTGTCCTGTTTCTGGCCCCTGGTCTAATCCAGGGCACCATGTTATATTTCTTCAGGGCACCATATTATATTTCTCCGAGGTGCCTGTAGACTCAGACTCCCCTTGTTCATGATCTTGATGGCTTCCAAGAGTCCTTGTCAGGTACTTTGTAGACTGTCCCTCCACATGGGTTGGTTTGATGGCTTCTTCTGATTCAGACAGGCATTGCGGTGTGTGTTTGAGGGAGGGTCTTTGGGTAGCATAGATGGTTAAGCACTGGGGTGTTCAATGGACAGTTGGTCATGCAAACCCACACAGAGGCCCCTGGGAAGACCACTCAGTCAGGGAAGACTGTGTGGAGCACAGTTCTCCCCAGGCACAGTGGAGGCTGCTGGGAGTCAGGATCAACCTGACAGCAACTAGTTTGGGGAGGTTGTGGGGTTTGGGAAAGACGACCTCAGAAGTGAAGGACCATTCTAATCACATTGTATCCAGGGGACATGCTGCCAGGATTTTCATCTCGATCACTGGTGGCCGTGGTCGTGTCCATCGGGAGTACCCTCCCTGCTTTGCACTGTACTTTTGAGAAGGTCCTCATTGTGTCTGGCCCACATGGGAAGGCAAGCATGCCCTAGAGCAGCGGTTCTTAAGCTGTGGGTCAAGACCCCTTTGGGGGGGGGGGCTGTCGAACGAACCTTTCACAGGGGTCACCTGATTCATAACAGTAGCAAAGTTACAGTTATGAAGTAGCAATGAAAATAATTTTATGCTTAGGGGTCACCACAACATGAGGAACTGTATCAAAGGGTGGCAGCAGTAGGAAGGTTGAGAACCACTGCCCTAGAGGGTGGAGGGTCTCCATAGATCATTGGGCAATCTCCCTCCCGGATTCACTTATTTCTTCCTATTCATTCATTGATTCCGTGTGGAAACTTCTTATACGCTCAGTAATGATTAATTCTGTGTTATTTATTTTGCAACTCCGCTTTTTTAAAAAGTAATGTATATCATTTAAATGAGTATAAAAAGGTACACAGTGAAAGTGGAATTTTACTTTTAACTTTTTCAGGAGCTAACCATTAGCAAATGCCCTTATTTTAATCTTGCCGAGAGAAAGTCTGTATTTAATAAGGATCATGTGTGTTCTTCACTCGAGAGAACGATGAAGCTGTCTGTTGCTGTAGTGGTTGACTGGGTTGGAAACCAGCGAGAGCGTAGTTCTGCTGTCGTATACGGCTGCTCCAAGTCGGAATCGACCTGATGGCAGTGGGCGGATTTTTTATAGGCCTTTGAAGGGATTCTTCCCGGTGCAGTCATGACCGACAAAGCAAAACCAGAACAGACTTAATTTGTGGGATGTGGGTGTACTGGAGCAGGAAAAACCTCTGGGTCACCACCCTGCTAGAAACGTAGCCTTCCTGGTAGAAAACAGTAGCCTCACGTGCATAGCAAGCACATCTCTCGACCAGTGGAGTTGGAAACAATGGTGCCCTGCTCAGAGATGGTGCCTGGCCATGCTACAGTCTGCGGTCATGCAGCCTCCCACATCAGGATCTGTAAGGGACTCACTACACTTCTACCAGGTCTCTTGTTCCAGGGCTTCTACCTGCCAATCTCCTGGTTCCTTGTTGTTCCGGTCTACCCATATTCAGTGCATTAGCCACGACGGAACTGGTTCAAAGTCCTGTTTTTAAGATACAGCACCTTTTAATTTAGATTCTGAAAATGCACTTAACTGTCCAGTTAAGCTCTTCTGCATACACTACCTGCTATCCATATAAGCCTATTAATTTTTCCCGTTCTCTGTTGATTGGAGATGGGGGGATCCCATTTGCTTAAAAATAGAATGCTTATATTTAATAAATATAGTCAGTTGAGCTACAACCAGGCTTGTTCTCAAATACTCTGCATCAGTACTCTCTTGAATTTGGGCATATCTTTAGAGAACAGTAGGCATGCTGTTGCATTATAAATAGTTATTGCACACATACTTTGTTTTCAGAAACAGCAGCTGTGGGTATCAAGAATTATATGAGGGAGCTTCAAGAAGTTTGTGGAAAATATTTTTTTCTTAGATATGCTTAGAAGAGTAGGTAATATTTTCATTAGAAAAGTTTCCGTCTTAAATTTTGCTGGGAGGTCATTAATTGCAAGAATCAAATTATTTTCTCTTTCCCTCCCCTCCATGCTATCGATCCAATAATAGGAAGTATTCATCTCAACTAGGCTACCTCACCACTTACCATATATACTCGTGTGTAAGCTGAGTTTTTCAGCACATTTTAAATGCAGTTTTTGTGGTACAATTAGGTGCCTCGGCTGATACTGAGTCGGCTTATACTTGAATATATATATGGTAATTTCTTTTCATTAACTTAATGTTAGCAAATCCTTTTTGCTGTCCTGTACCCTCTGCTTAGGAGCTCTGGTAGCGTAACGTGTTGTGAGTTAGGCTGATAACTACAAGGTCTGCTGTTTGAAACCACCAGCCGCTCTGCCAGAGAAAGATGAGACTATTTTTTCAACAGTTTTATTGGTAAATAATTCACATCATACAATTCAGTAGTTCCGTCACATCACGAAGAGCTGTATAATCATCACCACAATAATTTTAGAAGATTTTCTTCCTTTTTTTACACAAGTATCTTTGTGATTTTGATTTACATCTATAAGGACAAGTGAAAGCGAGCATCTCTTCACATATCTGATCATTTGGATGTCCCTCCCCCTCACCATATATCATACAACTCAATCATACCAAGAAGAGTTTTACAATCATTACCCCAAGGTTTCCAATTCAACAACTTTTACATGTATAATTCAGTTCAGTTGATTATATTCTTCTAGTTGTACAAGCATTGTTGATGTCCTTTTCCAAATTATTCCACCACCATTACCATAAACTCAATGCTCCCTAAGCAAACACTCTTCCTCTTTCACCCATGGTAACCATAGGTCCAGTTTGGTTTCTTTAGTAGTTTCCTTGAGAAGATATTCACGCATCATACGCGTCCATAGTTAAATCGCTTTGTAAAAGAGGTGTTTATACGTCATTACAGTCCGTTCTAATGCTCCCTCCCCGCAGACGAGGCTTTCTGCTCCTGTGAAGATTCAGTCTCAGAACCCTCAGACGCAGTCACACTCTGTCTGTAGGGTCACTGTTGTTGGAATTGACTCCATTTGGGCGTATGAGTGGTCCTCCGCTTTTAATACGAGAGACCCGTCTCCAGGTCCCTCAAAGGCATTGTGGCGTGTAATTTGTATTAAGAATGTTGAATTGCATCTGCAGCTTCGGGAGAAGGATATATCTGACCAGAGCACACAGGAACAGATGACGGGGGAGGAGGAGAGA